CCACGTCTGCATCATCTACCTCTACTCTCAAACTCTTGCCAATGGACACGATTTCATGCACTACATCAGGAGAGCTCTCTTCTTCAAATTCCTGAAAGTTTCGCTCTGGGACACAAGTTGGCCAAAGTTTCCTCCAGGCCGATTGCAAAGTGCGGCGAGAGACCTCACTCCAGGCTTTGTCAATAAGGTTGATACAATGCAGGATATTAAAATGCTCCTTCCAAAAAGCTCTAAGAGTTAAGTCGGTATCATTGGTAACCTGAAAACACATGGTAAACAGTGCCTTGGTATACAGCTTTTTAAAATTGGAAATCACTTGCTGATCCATTGGTTGCAGTAATGGAGTTGTGTTGGGTGGAAGGAATTTTACCTTGATGAAGTCATGTTCACTATCCAAGTCGTCCTCCAAATTTGGTGGATGTGCTGGAGCATTATCCATTAAGAGAAGACATCTAAGAGGAAGATCCATTTTCTGAAGATAATTTTTAACAATAGGAGCAAACACTTCTTTGAGCCAATCCATGAATAAAGTCCGAGTTACCCATGCCTTACTATTTGCCTTCCATTGTAGAGGCAGTTTGGACTTTATCACATTTTTGCTCTTAAAGGCACGAGGATTTTCAGCGTTGTAGACTAAAAGTGGCTTGATTTTGAGGTCACCACTTGCATTAGCGCAAAATAAAAGAGTGAGTCTGTTTTTCATGGGCTTGTGTCCGGGAAGTGCTTTTTCTTCTTGGGTTATGTACGTTCGTCTAGGCATTCTTTTCCAAGAAAGACCGGTCTCGTCGCAATTAAACACTTGATTCCAGACGTATCCTTCACTTTTTACAAACTCTACGAATTCATCTACAAATGCGTTTGCTGCTTTTTCATCTGAACTTGAAGCCTCCCCGTGTCTTATGACACTGTGAATGCCAGTTCGTCGACAAAACCTATCAAACCACCCTCGGCTCGCTTTAAAGTCCTGCCTGTCTGCAGTTGTACTGGGTGTCTGGGTCAATAAGTCATTGTATAAATTTTTAGCCTTTTCACAAATTATAGCTTCACTAACACTGTCTCCAGCAAGTTGCTTTTCATTGATCCATATTAGCAACAGTTTTTCAACTTCATCTAAAATTTTATATCTTTGTTTCGATATCACATTCACTCCTTTAGCCACTTCGGCAGTCTTAAATGCTTTTTTGTTTTTAATAATTGTAGAGATAGTCGATTTTGACACATTATATTCTTTAGCGATGTCAGAAACACGAATGCCATTCTCGTATTTTGCAATAATTTCTTTCTTTAATGCTACACTAAAACGTTTTTTATTTCCACAGTCACTTCTCTCTTTCTTCGGTGCCATATTGATTAAATATACAGTATAAATAACAAAACTAAAAAACGAAGTTTAGCACACTCGAAAAAGCAATGCTTACCTCGCGCACGCCTAAGAGCAACTGAAATTTGTGAGGTTCCAGAACGGCTGGAAACTATCATTTAATATCGATATATTAAAAGCGAAAACACTATTGTTAAGTCGGACCAAAGTTCAGGGAAAAGTAAGGAAAAAAAGTGTAGTTGTCAAAACAAACGCGACGCGAAAACGAATGACGTAACGGATCAGGTGGAATGTCTGCGGGAAAGATGAAACTCTGACAGAAGCGGTCATAAACAGTCGGTCTAGGTTAAATATTCGGAAAAAGGAAACGATTTGACGGGTATAAAAACATCGCAATATAATCGTTAATCGAACATTAACGATCATATGCGACAGATAGCAGAAACAATAGGCTAAATTATGAGCGAAAGGCTTATAGGTTTATCAACAATCTCCGATCAGAGTCGACGACAGGTGTCAAATAAACGCCTCAGAACAAACTTTTCTCGTGACCTGATCTGGTTTCGGTTTTCACCTGGAGACAAAGTAGAAAACAATCGGGAAGCGAGGAATGGGACGCAGGATTAATCGTAAGGTGAGATTCAAGGAAGAAGTACTATAAAAACTCTGAATCTCAAGGTCAAAACGCAGTTTTCCTAAAAATTCTATGGCGATTAACCTAAAAGTCAACAAGCTTACAAATTTGACACAAAAAGCCGTTAAGTTCGTTATCCGAATTTTGTTCGTTATCCGAGACAAAATTTTTGCAAAATAAAAGTTCGTTAACCGATTTGGTCGTTAACCGATTTGGTCGTTAACCAGGACGTTCGTTAACCGGAGTTCCACTGTATTTATTTAGGAAATTCAAAGTGATTCTAAAATATCGCATAAACGTAGCATAGTATTAGGGAGGTTGCGGCCGAAGTTTTGAACGCGAAAACCTGTACGTCCGACGTTCACGTTTTCGCAATGAAAACGTCTGCAGCAATCTCGCTATTACAGAATCATAATAGGCGATATTGCATGTAAATCTATAAAATTACACAGTAAATTATTTTTCGCATTTATCTGTTAAGAATCTGAGTTTCAGGTTATTTCTTAATGTTCATTATAAACCTTCGGACATCACAGGGTGAAATTAAATGACAATATACCACAGCTTTTTATCACTAAGTTATATTCGCTGTCGGATACGATTACATTGTGTTGATAACGGCACTACAATTAAGACCAGAAACTGCTATTTTGCAATTATTAAAACTTGCTTTTATCAAGAAATTTCTCTTGATATAGAAAAATCCCCACATTGATAATCCGAATGGTCTTCCTCCAAGTCTCTTTATAAAGCCAATGATCTAAAACATTATTAAAATATCTAAAAATTATTAATACAATTATATCAAATGTGTCATAAATTCAAAAGAACATACTTTAAACCTGTATTCAGTTGTAAGCGAAAAAGAGTAATATTTCGCGATGTTCATAAAATTGTCGTAGAGCTGAAATATATTAATATGTTTATCATAGAATTAATGTTAGGTCCATTAATTAATTGTACAATTATAATTTTACATATGTGTGTCGATACTTACAATTGAAGTAAAATATGATAATGCCCATGATACCATTAAAGATCCGACGAGAAATGCCACCGAAAATACTGCAATCAGCATGCCAATTATTACATCTACATGTATGAAGAAAACAATGTATATACAGAAACAAGATTCGTACAAATAAAACACGTAAATGANTTACTGCTTCAGAATTGATTATTAATGGAGTATATACAGTATTTGAATATTTTAATTTGCTAAGAGTAATTGGTTAGTGTATTCGATTCTTTTAATTTTATTTCGGTACAAGAAAAACGATATCGTTTAACAATTATTATACAATAATTATTATATTAAAAAAAATAAAAAGTTATCCAACCTTTATTCTTGACATTGCTTGATTTCTAAATTCATTATAATTATTTTGTGTCTATATTAGAAGGAGATAATATAATTAAAAACAAAAAGTAGAATACTTAAAATAAAATTTATTACATAAATATACCATACTCTATTGAAATAGTTTTGAATCATTCTTCCACATTCATTGCCATCTTTATCGTCGATACAACTCAAAATAATCTATTTATTCAAAGCAATTAATAAAAAAAATGTTATATATTATTTGTGCTTTTTTTCGATAAAAAATAAAATTTGTGCTTACCGGATATTGGTCTTCGAGAACGCAATTGTGAAATTTCTAAAATATGAAATATCGCTGATGATTATATTTTATGGATAATAAACATTTTAAATACTAAATGAGTTTTTCTATTTTTCTTACATGTTAAAAAAGTATTTTAATTAAATTTAATAAAGGGGGATCATACTTAGTTAAGCATGTAATTTAAATAAATAAACAAGAAAAATTTTTCTTTGAATTTTAAAATTAAAAAACAAATCCTTTGCCTCATTTGATACATTCCCATCTTTCAAAACAACAATCTATAAATGAGGTAATGAGTATTCTAAAAGTATTTAATCAAATAAACCAAATCTGTATTTAGTATTCCCAGTAAAAACTTTTTAGAAACAGTTCTTAAAAAATGTCTCAGTATGTTATTTTGGTATCTGTTATCGCAATATATTGTCAAAAAATTTAAAAAGGTTAACAAATATTGTTTCAGAGAAAGTATTAATACCGCAAAACTTGGATATGGACTCAGTGTACTGTACTATAAAATTTTCCAATCAAGAAGAAAAACATATATAGAAATATAAACAATGACTAGTAATTAAAAGTAGCATACTCGTAACAAAAAATAAATAAATAAATAAAAATAAATTGGTTAAGATCATTTTCACCAAATACATCGGAATAAATGGTTAAAAAATTATTTTGCGATGCTGCTGCAACGTGCGATGTGATACAATGAGAAAACGTTCTAGAACTTTTGACAAATTTCGAAAAACTTTCTTCTGGATCAATATCAAGAAAGTAAAAACATTAAAAGTTTAAAATCTTGTTTGCAGTCAAAATATATTTTTGTCATGCCAATATAAAAATATACGAAAAAAAAATATCATATTCAAATTTTTACAAAGCGAAAATCATAACAAAAATCTTATAAAAGTATAAATTCGAATCATTATAAATAAAAAAATTTATATAAAATTGTTAAAGCATAAGAACACTAAAGTTAAGATATAAAGGCAAAAACATATAAGGTATATTTTACCAGTTTGATAAGGCTAATAACTGACACAAACGAAATATGTTGGGTTTTTTAAGATTTTTACTCCAACGTTCAATATTCTAACATTTGTTTTGCTTATATTTGGGAGTTTGCCATAAGACTGGACTGTCTTATAAGTATTGAACAGAAATTTTCCACAATTGAGATATTTCAAGTATCTCGATAAACTAAAACGTCAATATGGTCTCCAAGTTCTTTTAACTTTTAAAAATTTTAGCTGTGTTCAAAACACAGCCAAATTTTTAAAAAGTTAAAAAACTTTGAATTTACGACTAAGATCTAAAAACTAACTACATTAGTAAAACTCTTTTTCATATAGTATAAATGTTTTATTTTTAAAATAGAAGTTACATACTTTTGATTTCAACTTACATTATACTTTGTCGATAAGATTTAAATTTTAAATCGAATTAATTAGCCTACATCTTAATAAAGACATCTGATAAATGTTTCAAAAAACAAATTTAACTTTTATAAGATTTTATCATCGTTATATTTCCACTTTCTATAATAGCAATCAATTTTTAATTTACTGGTAAGAAGTAATTTCAATTACTAGCCCCTAAAATCTTATTTTAATTATAAACTTTTAATGTTTAAACTTATGATAAAAAGCTTTATCATGCTATCATAATTCGTGCGTCATTTTTTTGCTTTAAGTAAAAATACAAAAATGTCAACAAAATGGAATTTCATAAGCTACAATTTATTAAGGTTTCGACCAATTCCTCTCAAGAAAGTACCGTATAAAAATATAAATGGGAACTTTCGTATTTTGAGACGATCTTAAAAAATGTTTCTCAGCTTTTGAAATAAAAATTCCAACTAAAATATAGTAGAGCNTGCCCCTATACCAGGGGCAACTTTAATAAAAATAATTAAAATAATTACAACTTTACAAAAAGAGAGAAGTTGCCGATCTTGCCCCTATACCCGGGGCAACTTCGTCAATTTCTCTCTTCTTGTAAAGTTGTAATTATTTTAATTATTTTTATTTCCAAACTGATTTTAACCAGTTCTATAGTAAGAAAACATTCCAATAGACAATATGCAAAGCTTTTTTTTCAGTTTACAGCAGTATTTATTACACAAAATTTAAGTAAAGCTTAACATGCCGATCTTGCCCCGGTCTCGTCTCGTCTCCCCTATATCTTCGTAATACACTTATAACAAGGTAATGAGTATAATTTCTTACTATAAGGATATTACGAAGACATCTTTGTAAACATTTTTTAAATTTCTATTCTTATATTTATAATAAGCGTATATAAATTACATTATATTTATAATGATGTAACAATATAATTATATTATAAATATAATAACACTTCATATCTAAAATGATAACATTAAAAAATAACTTTAAGATATTTTATATTAACCCCTCTCAAAAATTAATCATAAAATAAATGTAATACTAACATCAGACCAATCATTTACAGTTTCATTTAATGTTTCCTCACAACATTTTTTTGTACATGCAATAAACTAAAAACAGGAAAAAAAATTAATTATCATTATGCTTTGGAATATAACATTCTTAATGTTACTAAATAACTTATATTAATATATTTTCAACAGTTTTAGTCTAATAAATCAAATTAACTTACTTCTTTATATTATATTAATATAAGTTAATATAAGTTAATATATTAACTTATATTAATATATTTTCAACAGTTTTAGTCTAATAAATCAAATTAACTTACTTCTTTGATGGTAACGTTGGAACTTAGACATTTAAAAAAATCTTGTACGCAATCTGTATCACAACCTGAAATTTAGAATTCTAAAATTAAATTTTTTAAGCCAAATATAAATTATGTCTTAACAATTTTAAGATAAATGTGGAATGACAATTGAATTACAAAAAAAAATTCGCTATAGTACAATAATCTTACAATTTAAATAAAAATTTGCTAAGACGATGAAAATGATTAAGACTTGTTTATTAGGTATCATTTTATCTTAATTTTAAGAAATAACTCAAAATGTGTTGAAACTGCAGTTTTTATATACAACTACATTTGTCGACACAATGAATTACCTAATGTTGAATTTTAGTAATCACTCAAGTGAATCTGATTTCTTATCGTCATTAATTAAAATTAGTATTTAATTCTTAAATGCATAAAAAGATAAATATTTTTCAGTAGCAAGTGATGTAAAAAACATGTTACCCAACGCACTGTACGTCTGTTGTTTACGAATTAATGTAATTGCTTATGTTAATTTNTGCATAATAAAACATAAATATTTTTCAATAGCAAGTGATGTAAAAAACATGTTACCCAACGCACTGTACGTCTATTGTTTACGAATTAATGTAGTTGTTGGTTTATGATAATTTTATTTAAAATAAATTTATAGTTTTTTTTTTTAATTAGAAAGCTATATTTAACTTTTAAATATTTCGAAAATAATAAAATTGATTAAAAAATTAATTGTAAATAAATCTACCTGTATGTACTAATTATGTTATGTATTTTGTCATAAACTGACTTGATAGTGATTTAAGTTTGATTATCACGTTGTGATACGTTGCTGTTTAGATTATCAGATTATTTAACTATACAATTGCTGTTACATATGTAACTTATAGTGACATATAAATTTATATATTTCTATAAGTTATATGCACTTTTTCATAAAATATAGAAATTATCCTCTAATTTTAAATATATATGAGAGCATAATATCAAGTAACTTATATTATATCACGTAACTTGATTCACGGACAAAGATATCACACAATCGAGAATTTTTTAGTAATATGCTCAAAACAATCCGGTAAATTTCTGTAGTTATGTAAACAGATTCAAGACATTTTTACTTTCCCGACTGTTATATAACAGGGAAAGTATGGCGATCGGATAAAAGACGAACTCAAGATTTTTACACTCTTGGACTCAAAGAATCTTGAAACAAAAAAGTTAATAGTTTTTTATTCTGTATGTATATGGAAGTTGAATTGCCCTGCCAATATATTCTATATTATTAATAACATTCTAACCTGGGGAAATCAACATAAACTGGATTTTAATCCTAACAAGACTAAGTGTATAGTATTGAATAAACCTGGTCATCAAAACCTTTACTTCCGTACTCCTTGCATTAAAATGGGTGGTCATACCATAAAACTAGATAAAACTATTAAATATTTGGGCGTAATCTTGGACCACCGCCTCTTGTGGAATTCACATATTGAATACATAACTAAACGTACAGGGAAAATTTTTAACGCTTTTGCAAGTATTGCAAGAGGTCGTTGGGGACATGCCACTGAGGCGATGGATGCAATTTATAATCAGATTTATATTCCAATTATTACTTATGCTTGTGGAATTTGGGAAGGTGATGTTTATAAGACTCATATAAAGCGTAAACTTATTTCGTCACAACGTAGAGCTCTTATTCAAATCACCAAGGCCTACAATACCACACCCAATATCTCTATTCAAGTTCTGGCTAAGAAAGCCCCTATTGATCTTATCATCACCACCTATTTTAAACAATTTCAAATAAAGCATGGCCTTGATATTTATATTAGCAACCAACAAATAAGACACATCGACTTGGAACAAGAAATTTCTTTTGCCATTTATTCACAATCTTTGGCCCTTTCGTACACACCGTCAATCGTCTTCGAGCAACCCTCTTACAACGATTACGAAATCTTTACGGATGGTTCGAAAACAGATATAAAGGTTGGTTGTAGTTATGTTGTTTACCAGAACGGGCAGGAGATTGCTCTGGGCCAGTTCAGATTGGGTGAACAATGCACTATTTTTCAAGAAGAACTCTATGCCTTGAAAATGGCCATTACTTGGGCTAACAATGTCCATCATAAACAAATAGCTATCATTACTGATAGCTCTTCCTCTATTGCAATCCTTCGTAAAGGATCCTTTCACCCAATCGTTTATGACATTAACACTCTCATTTCCAAGTCTTCCAATCGATATTATATTTACTGGACTCGTGCACAAATATTCATGATACTCATGGTAACGAAAGGGCTGATGCCTTAGCTAAGACAGCTTCCAACAATAATAGTCTTAATATCTCTTATGATAAAATCAGCACCGGTACACTCAAAAGAATTCTCTGGCAGGATCTCCTATTAAAACTCGAAGTAGAAGCGTAAAGTGTGGAAGTCGAAACAAGAAATTACTCGGTAAGTATTCGTTTTATTTAAAGGAATTTATTGAAAGTAAATATTTCTCTACTCTAAAGCTTTTGACAGNATATACTCATTCTAAGCATGTATTATAAAATATTATTTCTAGTAAAAACTGGAAACAAGTCGTATACTATCTACATACAGTGAAAATATTTATTTCTATCATAATCAGAGTTTTTAAATTAATTATTTGGAATTTATACTTATTTATTTGGAATTTTTTGAATTTAGATAATTATTATCATAAAAATCTGTAATAAAATAAATGAAAATTTTAAAAGAATGTGTTTAAACTTTATAACCTTTATATATAATTTTAGTACGTTTCGTAATCTTTTAAAACTTTATATTGACATATATAGCGAAAGTATTTTCATGTTAATGCGAATTATATGACTTTTAATTAGAAGAGAATGCACCTAATTCATTGGTCATATTACTTTTTTCGTTATAAAGGACTTTAATTTAATCTTAATTGCAGTCTATGTATTCATTGCACACTTTTATATCACATTAAAGGTTAGCAAATGAACATAAAATTTTTGCAATAATCAATGGGTTTATTCTGCTGTTAAAAGAGATTTAATTATTATTTTCAGTATTTAAAGTAAAATTTAATTCAATAAACGATTAACTTCAGAACAAACGTAACAAACATAGAAATTTAATTGTTAAAATATTTATTGCGATTAAAAGTTTATTGTTGATATTGGATTTTTCCAAAAAAATGACATTAATCGGTCTTAAAATTTATTTTTGTTTTCGTTTTCATTTTTCTTTCTGGGTGGATGAGTTTTGAAATTCTCAAAGGCAAATTTCATATTTTAGTTTGTTAACGTGGTTTAATTATATTCGTTAATAACAAATACTATTGGTTAATTTGTTTAGAATCCTATAAAACCTCTTTAGGTGATGATCATGAGTTATCCAGTCTCAAAGCTTTCGAGCATCTTTCGAAGTTAGTCAGACGAGACTAAGAAAAATGTTTGGGGAATGCCCAAAAATGTGATGAAACTTTTTGAAGAAGAAAGCAGAGCTAAATTCAGGAAGATAGCAGGAATCACTTTTCATTGAAAAAAGATTGAACCTTTATGGTTTAAGTTAATTAGATCTGATAGAGTACAAAAAAAATAAAAATGTTAAAATGCAGTATACTATAGATGGATTGTACTGAAAACCTAAATCTTTAATAGAAATATTTATGAGAGAGACTTGTCAAAAAATAAAGCCAATAGTAAAAGTCACTAAAACTTTTTAAGAAAATTTCTTCCGTGTGAAAATTAATATAAAATAGGCCTATTGTGAATCAATATTTCCTTTAAAATTGCTGTTATTTTTAAGTGATAAAATCGATATACAAATTATCTTTATTGTGCTTTCGATTTTATATTGCAATAATTTAGTTCTCATTTTACTCATTTATTATATCATCTCGAATTTATTACAAATTCGAGATACTGTATTTACAAATCAAATAACTAATATTTATATAAATAACTAGCTTACCCGTCGCGCATTGCTGCGATCTCAGAAGAAAGGAAATTCAAGCAAACTCGTTATGATAAAATTCAATTTACATTTTATCATTTTTATTGAAACTTATTATTATTATTATTCATTTTCATCGGGAAAACATTTCAAAGTGTCGTTTCAATTCTATTTATTTATTGGAGTGCTTGTGGATACACGATATTTTTTGTTTTTCCGTCTGGTGCGTACACGAATAAATCGGAAGGTTTTCCGACGCGTGAGCCGGCCACATACAGTTGTCCATGCGAGAAGCACGGATTCTCCAAATTTAGCCCACACACTCGCAGCGATTGTCAGAAGTGCGATATTCCCCATTTTTATATATATATTTTTTAATCCTTTATAATTTTAATTATTTAATTGCTCCTTCCTCTCTTCCTTGGCATGTTGTGAAATTTCTGATAGTTTGATAATAAACCGTTTTACTGTAATTTGTCTTTTTAAATTATTTTGAGTCGATATTAAAATGTGGAAAAGGGAGATTCCTAGATCGGTAAAATAGGCGAATTTCCTCCTACAACTTCGGTTGTTGTTCGGGATACAGTTAAGGTTTTAACAAAGTTCAAGCGAATACGTAATTAGCAAAAAAAAGTTGAAATAAAGTGATTAAACAAAAATTATTACAAATATCGTAAATAACAGTTCACAAATATATATATAGAGATATTTTTTTGGGGGGGAAATGGTCTTCACAATTTGAAATCAATCGAACACACTGTGAAATGATCGTATACACGCGCGCCATCTATCGTAGGATAAATGTACCATGCCAGAAACCTTCGCGGGAGTATATTAATTAAGAACTTCCCAAAGTTTCATGGCAATCGGATAAACGGTGTGGTAATGCATGAAGGACAGACACACAGACATACATTCATTTTTATATATATAGATAAATAGGCGTAGAATTAATATATCAGCTTACTCAAATTATCCTCTATGTAACAGATTTTTTTAAAATGTTAAGAATCATTTGTTTGTATCTTATGAATTTACTAACACGTAAAGGATACTTTTTTGACAATTGACTATAATATGTTTTGTTTATACGATGATAATTTAAGTTCTGTAATGTTATATAAAATTTATAAATTTTTCTGTTACTGTATTCATTAAACATGTTAACGTAGGCCTACTAATTTAAGTTATATTATTTATTATCTATTCACAATTATGTATAACAATGTTTGTATTTAATAATGTTGCTATGAGTTCTGTAACCCCTTTGTAAAGGCGAAAGCCATAACAAATAAATGATTGATTGAAAAACAATAAAATTAAATAATCTCCACTCAGTCATTTTGAGTACAGAAATAAATAAATAAATCGTTCAACTCACTAATTAATTTTTATTAATTTTCATTTACTTAAATAAAGTCATATTTGAATAAAATACTATAAAATATTTTATATTTTTTTTTAATTAAAAAATGTTTAATTAATTTAACAAGTGTTAATTCCTGATCACAGTGCGCGGGGCACTCTGTAGTAGAGCTCAGCCACACGTGTAATGTTAAAGAAACCTGCATTTTAAAGTATAAAAGAAAAGATAAATGTATAAATGTACTTAATTAATCAAATTTACCGGACATTATACGTAATCTCCAGTCTAGGATAGTAAAAGTTGATAAATAATGCATTCTCCTCCAGTAGCTTCTCCTCTTGGTTAGAAAATAACCAAACCCCTGCACTGGATCGAGAGATTACGATTTCTGTATCTCATGATGAATAAATCACATCATCAAGGCATTAAGTGTAGTCCTTATGAAGCCATATTTGGTCCACCTTTAAAAGTTGAGCCGGAGACATTATCCCTTCCTAATGTTGCTGTAGTAGATGTTCACACCAAAGAGAAACTACAAGAAATAATTGAATCATTAGTCAAAATCAATGTCAATTAATAGAACCCAATGAAAATATTTCAGAAAAAGTATTGAAAATGAACAGTCATCACTCAACCAACCCGATGTGATTATGTGTGATTCATCAACCAAAGTACTGTCTAGTATGGAAGTGATCAGTCTTTCTATGGTCAAGAATAGAAAGAAGTTGAGAAGAAACGATTTAACCTCAGATCAAAATTCAGCGTAAAAAGATAAAATATGATTACGTTGGTAGAAGTTACATCAATCGTCAACCTCTCCAAACACTGAAGTAAGCTTTTTTGATTCTTTAGTGAATATATGTATAAATTTTACGAAGGAAAGATTTTCCCAATTATAAAATTACAGTAAATTATTTGAATGTGTATATAATATTTCATTGTTAGCCGATAAACATTGTAAAGTTATTTTTAAAAATTGTAGGATTGACGATTGATAACAATTTTGATATAAAGTCATTTTATTCATTTAATGACTTTTTAATTATTACAAATACGGTATTTTAAAAAAAGAGAATGTCGCCACTAGAAGTTTTGATATTGATAAAAATAAATTAATTGAAAATTTTTCAAATGTTTTTATATCATTGAGAATGCTTTTAATCCTCCCTGTGTCTATTGCTGGTGGAGAACGATCCTTCTGAAAATTGAAATTGATTAAAAATTATTTGTGCGCAGGAGAGTTATCATCGATTAAATAGAAAATTTCGACGATATTATAGATGAATTGGTTGAAAAGAAGGTACTCAGAAGTCGATTTACATAATTTTTTTTTTAAATATAGTCTTTAAAACTTTATTACATATCTGTATTTATATGAAAATATTTTTTTTTCTTTTCTGCCTGTAATAAATAAATGCTCATAATAAAAATTTTCGTAATACTTTATTTCGTTTTTATAAAAAGTGTTACTGTCCTTACCATACCAGCAACTGCGAAAAAGTGAGTATAAATTTGGCTCGCTTCATGCGGCAATTTTTAGCGCGCAGGCCCTTGTCGCAAAGATACTCGAAGTTGCCCTCTTTGTCAATGGCATTTACAATAGAACTTACCACATCTTGCATATAATAAGTCTTGATTATGGCTACAAAAAGCCACAATCAAGACTTAGGCCTTGGTTACACAGTTGTTTGTTTTCTGAAGTTATGGCAACGCAACACTTGGGCGATCTGCCTAAGAGAGAATGCCTTTTGGGAGGTCTTTTTTAAGAATAACTGGCCCCTATTTAGGCATTACAGACATGGAGAAAACCCGAAAAACTCCACGTGACCACTGGTTGCAACAACGACATTGTATTTGGCAATAGGAACACAATACGAATATTATTGCCATATTCGTTAGTTTTAAGGTTATTTTCTGTATAGTATTTTCAACAAAAGGATTAACGTGTCTACGGACGTACACAAAAACAAAAACTATTGGAAACAGATATCTTATGAGTAGTAGGCAAATATCTTGAGATCGATTATAATCGAACACTACTGGAACTGTTTTTAGAGACAGGCCTACATTAACTCTATGCCGAAAAGATGGATCAAATTCAAATATAAAATTGTATCAAATAACAAATTTTCTAAGACAAAACGACTTCCAACCACTTAACACATAACACTTGTAAAAAAGGTTTCGTGGATTGTTATTAACAAATTTTTATTTAAATTTCATAAATTAATATGAGAATTAAATAATTACTGAAATTTTAAAAGAATTCATTTTTAAAAGATGATAATTTTAATAACTTATATTTAAAAAAAAGAAAAAAAAAAAAAAACTGAAATGATGTACTACCTGGCAACACGCCAGCTAAAATTTGGCGGGAAAAGTCATTGTTCGATCGGGAGCGAAAAACATGGATGTAGCAGATTCAAGAACAGGTCCTAAACATTTGAGTGATGATGTGGGAGATCGTTGTCAAAAATTATTTCAAGATTTCTTGGAAGAGTGAGTAAACTGATACAATTGATTTTCTTCATTTTAAATAATTTATTTATTATGTGTGTGTGTATGTTCTCTTTCTATTTGTTCTAATGTAATAAAAATTCACATATTTTTGTTTTATTTGTTTGCTCTTTAATAATGAATAAAGATAGATTGGTCATAGTTAAAATAAAATCATATTAATTCTGTTTTTTATTAAATATTTACATGTGCCTCATTGTCATTGTATATAATAATTTTCATCAGATTGATATACTTGTATAAATAAACTACCTCACATATCTTTACAATTTATACAGTTCGGTTACCTACATTTCTACAAAATATATCCAGCCCTGACCCTATCTTTTTATTAATTTGTTTACAAAAATATATATTTTTTTTTTTTTTTGCAAAACATGACAATGGCTGCGTTCAGCAGACTCAACAGTTGTAACTGAGCAAATCGGTAGCTATTATGTAGCAACCTGGATCTGCTGAATAATCAGTGACATTGCATTGAAACAAACAGCCTCATTGGTCAGTTTCAGGTAGTGATAGGTAGTGTAAATGAAAGACACTACTAAATGTAACATTAAAACACCAAACATGTTCCAAAAGAGCACTACTATAGAGGGCGTTTTCCAGAAAAACACAACAGCTTCGGAACTGTTGAGTCTGCTGAATGTTTATTTCTCTTGCTTTTTGCTAGAGACAATGTCAACTTCAATTATTTTGTATTTTTTCACAATAATATACAGTATTTTTAGAAACTTTACAATTTACTTTTAATGCCAGTTAGTGTAGATGGTGTTTAGACATTTTTTTAACATTCTAAATAAAGTTAAATATAAAAAGTTCAAGTTCATAGATTTTTTTTAAAATGATTTCACAGCATTTGTCATTTTTTACATTGAATGGTACGTTTCAAAAGTGCGCATATTTTTAAACATAAAATCATTCACTTTTTTAAAATCAAACAACAAAAATTAGTGAGTATGTTAAAATTAAATATTAATCCTATTATGAATTGAGAATTGATGCTGAACAAAAACACAGAAATAGATAAAATCACTGAACAGTGGAGTTGGTCGTGAATTTGTACCTGACAAATGGGCTGGCCAAGTAAGGTTTTACTTCACATGACTTCACTTAAATAGGAATCAGTTTCCTATAAAAGTTTTAGGAGTTACTCCATTGACAGATTGCCTATGTATTGCATTGACTTGCCTTATTTCATTACTTCAAATTGAAAAAAAAGCTAACTCAAATAGAAACCAAGGAAAACTGTTAAAACCATTTACATTTGCAACTAACCTGGTTGAAAGATTCTGTCTCCATAATTCCTGTCCCTGTTTCAGGTTGCAATAAAATTATTTGTACAGTCATAACTAGTAATATCAAAATTAAATAATTTGAAATAAAAGTACAGTAGAGAGTCGATTATTCGAATGAATTTGGTCTGGGGTTGTTTGGAAAATCGATTTTTCAGCTAACCGATTATGTATGAAAAAATACATTATTAATATAGTGTATTAGTATATCCTAATAATAGTATATTAATATATCCCATGTTTAAATTTTTCTCCATTGAGTGTTGCTTTGTGTTGAATTTTTGTCAATGTTAAGCCTAACAAAAATTTTTATAATAATAATCGTAGCTATTGTATCGTTAAAAATTATTTCTTTGTTTTGTACAAACAAAATAAATATATTGAAAAATATAAAAATAAAAAATTATACTTTAGAACAGGGGTGTCCAACCTTTTGTTTCTCTGGGCCACATTGGAAGATGTCATGGAGTTTTGGGCCACAAGTATATTATATATACTTGTGGCCCAATCCTTAAATATACTTGTATATTTAAGGATTAACATGTCCAGATTATAGTAATTAGTATTAAATCTTTATCATGAAAAAGGATATTTAAAAAAATTACTTCTACAGACACTTTTAATTTTTGCTTAGAAATAGATAAGTTCATTTATTATAAAGGAGACAAACAAAAATTTATTTGAACATAAATATTTGTTTTATTTGGGTCATAATAAAAAATGACAAAACACCATTTTAAAGTGCATTTTTATTCGAGTAATATATTTATAAATAATATGTAGCTCAAAAAGTAGCCAATGCGCCAAATGATAATTTTTACGCCAAACTAAAAAACAGGGTAGCCAAATTTGGCTCAAAGTAGCAAAATCATGCAATGTTGGAAGGAATACTACATAAGGCTGGAGTTGGGACTCAAAGGATTATAGACCCAAATGCGGGGAAAGGAGAGAAAGGACAAAAGATAAAGAAGTGAGGAAGGTTGGAAAATTAAAGGTCCATATTTGTATAACAGAAAGTCTGTTTAACCTTTCTCACTACTTTTTATCTTTTGGCCTTTCTCTCCTTTCCCCAAATTTGGGTCTATAATTCTTTGAGTCTCAACTTTAGCTTTATTTAGTATTTCTTCCTCATTCACACATTTCCAAATATTTGAAAATATTTCATTTCAATATATTGTATAAAGGTTTATGGTTTGTGAAACTTTTTTTTGAGTTTATGACGTTGAAATAAATAAATAAAATAAAATAAAAAAATTTGTCGGTGTTGTTTACACCTTTATTGGGCCACATTGGAACTTGCCTTGGGCTGCATGCGGGCCGCGGGTTGGACACCCCTGCTTTAGAAGTTAATCTAGTATCAAAAACGATCAATTCAGCACGACACAGTCTGACTAGAACGCTTTTGGTTAACCGACATTTCGGTTGATAGGCATTTGGATAATCAATGCTCTACTGTATTTTAATTTTTGATCTGCAAAATTAAATTCCTAAGAAATTTTTTATGTTTTTTAAAAATATTTAACTTCTTTCTCATTAAATTGTCTTATCACAAAACAGAAATATATTTTATATGGAAAACAAAGAATACAAACATTTCATGGTATTTAATTTAAATACTTCAGAATACTGTTAAACCAGACAGATATATTAATTAAACATTCATATTCTAGATTACATGTCTTCCATAAATTCTTTATTATAATTTATCATTTATTCAGTAGTTTTTACAGATAGTTTACATTTTCTTAATTCTCTAAACCAGGGGTCACCAAACTTTTTTCACAATGGGCCAGATAACTGAGAGAATGATGAGCACAGGTTGCATAACATTTTGTTCAATACTGTACACTGAGTACACAAAAATTAAAGACAACAAACATATGTATTTACTAATACACAAACACGATGGCTGCAGCAAGCTTGTAATTGCTTTTCTTAGAAACTTCATTGTAGGTACAGTACTTACACAAAAAGCACTCTGATATCCAAAGCCGCATAAAGTCAGCAAATTTTTTATTTCACTGATTTTCCTAAAAATTATATTACTGTCAGATGCAAAAATTAGATTGGACCAATTTTGGCACTTTTACTTACACTTATTTTAATTTTTTTACATAGTAAGTTTATCTACAATCTATGATATTTCCATATAAATAATTATATTTTAGCTCATTTCTGGCACAGTGTGGCGGTGGGCCTGATGAGCTGATCTCATAGGCCATAGTTTGGTGACCCCTGCTCTAAACCTAAAATATAAATTGCTAAAATTTTATCATCAATAATTAGTTTAATTATAAATGTATTGAATTTCTGAAATACATGTTAAAATATGAAAACTAAAAATTTCTTAGAATACTATCTTTAAAAATTAACATAATTTTGATTCATTTATTCTAAATATAATTTAAGATTAGTAAAATTCCTGGTAAATCTTTTAATTTGTTAGAGTATGGTTAATTTGAAATTTTGATGAAAAGTATTGATAAAATTTCAGGGTAAAAAGATCTCATTTTCAAACTTAAATAGAAAAACATTTGTAACAATCTGTTTTTTAGTATTATATTTTGATGCAAAATCAGGAAGCATTTTGTAGTGTAAATCATTTGTTTAGAGAAAGAATTTTCATAACAACTATTGTAATGTTTTATTTACTGATAAATTCTTTATTAAACATTTATTCAATCTGAGTATTTTATGACAAAATTTTTTTACAGATAAAAATACATAATATAAATTTGTTTATATTATGTAATAAAAACATAATAGTGCAATTCCTTAATAAGGATTTAGTTTTGTAATGTAAAATATAAATTTCATTCTAATCTAAAATAATGCTTTGATTATTTTATTTTTAAATATCAGTTATAAGAATACATTGAAGTTAATCTCTTTTAAGTGAAACAATATGAAGTCTATATCAATTAGTCAACAATTATACTCATACTTAATTAAACACTTTGTTTGCTCAGAAAATCTAAATATATAAAATTGCTTGTCCTGACTGACTGAATGAATCACTCACTCACTCACTCACTCACTCACTCACTCACTCACTGATTCATCATTGCCCAGAGCAAACCGCTGAACCTAAAGAGGTGAAATTTGGTAGACAGTTAGGGTACGTCATGGAAACACACACTAAGAAGGGATTTTTCAAAATTCCTCCGCAAGGGGAGAGGGAGAGGATTAAGGCTTAACCGGCAGAACAGCTTCTACTGTACTATTTTAGATGCGATTTTTTGTTTTTATCTGCGTTTTAGTAGGGTATGCCACGAGAATGCACACTAAGAAAGGATTTTTCGAAATTCCCCCGTGGGCGAGGTTTTAGTCTTCATCGAGTACTTAGGTGTATTAAATTAATAACATTTCAGACATTGTTATAAATATTTTTATATATTTCGATTTTTCATCCAAATGTTCGAACTTTTAAATTCAAATTTGTTATTGCATATTGGTTCGATTATAGAACGATTGTAAACGTCCCAGAAAATTGATCAAATCGAAAATAGTTCGTTTGATTCTCGGCAATTCTCATCATTCTCAGCAGTAGATGTTATATAACAATTACTATGGTTATTGAAATATGGCCATAATTATTGCTGTTTATATCTCTAATAAATTGGCGTATGTCTTTATTATTATTCCAAATAATAAATACGTCGTCGACGTACCTTGCATGCATTATCATACTATCTTCATATTTCTGCAATACGTTATTTTCCAGAGATCTTATTACCATCTCGCACAATAAGCCTGAGACCAGGCTACCCATTTGTACTCCTCTAAGTTTCAAGTATGTAGTACCGTCAAAGGTGAAAAGTGACGAGAATGTAGCCAAATGTGCTAGTTCTAGAATTTGCTTTCTTAACTTCGCTGCGTTCTCTACCTTGCCCAATAAGAAATCTCGTAGGTGACAAAAGCATAGTTCAAGCTTAACTGAAGGGTACTTTAGAGATATAAACAGCAATAATTATGGCCTGGAATTAGAACTAGAGCAGCAAAATAAAAAAAGAATACATTTCTTAGATATAGAGGTCGAAGTAGATGAAGAACGGGTAATCAATACGAAAGTATATAGAAAGCCGACATACGTTCCGGATTTGATACCATGGTCCTTGCATGACCCAACAAGCTACAAACTAGCAGCGTTTAGAGCACTAATTAAAAGAGCATACACTCATTGTAGCAGGATTCATAATACGTGTAAAGAGCTTAATACATCACAAAGCTAGCAAGAGATGTAGGACTTAAGGAGAACAAAGTAAAAGCCTTAATACAAGCAGAAAAAGAAGGCAATAAAAATAAAGATAAAAGAGAGAAAAAGGAGTTCACGTAATGGAGTACAGGGCTCAGTTAAGTAACATATACAGAAAAATAGGATTAGAAAGCAACAAGAAAATAGCATATAAGAGAAACACGACAATATTCCAAATGCTAAGAAATGACAAAACACCCGTTGACAGGAGGCTGATCCCAGGTGTATACAGAATACTGTTGTATGATAAGAGGCTGAATAAGAAGATATATTATATAGGAGCCACTAAAAGATTGTTAAATGAAAGATTGAAGGAGCACGAAAAGAATGTAAGATTTAAACAACCAATCACGGCGTTGGCTAATTATGCGATCACAGATCCAACAGAGATCGAAATCAAATGGAGCAAGGCAGATGTCATACAAAAAGTGGAAAATAGAAGACATCTAAAGTATGCAGAAGCCTGGCACATTTACAAGTGCAAAGAAAAAGGGCAAAATATAAATTTTCGTGAATCAAACAAAATAGCATCGGCATGGAAAGCGGCGACATTAAAATTATAATAATGGGCATGTGCAATTGAGACGATTATAGAACGTGCAGTTTGGAATTTCCATTTTGCAAATTTAAATTCTGATAGTTCGATCTTGAAGAAGGTCTGTTAATCTGACCGAAAACGTTCGATAAGTTAAAATAGACTGCATTTTAAAGGTATGGTGGAGTTTTTTAGAGAAGTAGTATATTCACTGACAGATTTTCCTTGGATAATCAAGATTCTATTGTATATGATGCATACAGTATATCTGTATGCTGCTTTGAAAATTTGATGTCATTTTTTATTTCATTAGTTTTGCTTTTTAATATTACAAGAATATGTTATAACTAAATAAAAATTTTTATAATTCAAGCATTTTAGAATTTTTATTAATATGTTAAAATTTAATGTTTAATAATCATAATTTAATTATTTTATATTTTTAATTTTAGATTTAAGAATGAACAGAATGAATTAAAATATATTGAAGATGCACGAAATTTAGTAAAACCGGAACGAAGTACATTACAAATAAATTTTCCAGATGTTGAAAGTTATAATCAGAATTTGGCACAGGCAATACAAGAGGATTATTATAGGTAATCTAACATTGTTATATTGAAAAATAATTACATTTTTAAATTTGCTTAGCATTTAACTATATGCAAAAATTATTTTACATTTTATTAAAAGCTGTAGAGAAATAATATCTTAGAATGAAAACTGTTGAACAAAGTCTCTGCCCACGTTCTAACAAGAGGTTGAAAAACATTTTCAATAAATTTTCCATATGAAACCTTATATTGTGTTTTACATTTAAATCTTTGTTATAAATTAGACTAAACTATAAAACTTTGTATATTAAAAATGTTTGTACCTTATTATTCAATTATTCCATATACTTAAAAATATATTAATTTTGTATTTTAGAGTTTATCCATATCTTTGTAATGCTGTTAGAAATTTTGTGAAAGATAGAATTGAAGTGAATGTGGAAAAACAATTTTATGTGAGTTTTGTAGGTGTACATATCTTGCACAAGTAAGTTTTGTCTTGATTATTTTTATGTTAATGAATTTCTGTTATAAATAATTAGTGACATTAAACTGTAGAATAAATAAGACAATGTAGTAGACAAACTTATAAAGATTACTTATGTATCTAAAACATGAAATATTATTCTGAACTTTTAACTTTTTTTATATTAATAATAGTAATATCATTTTTGTAAATAAAAACTGGAAATTTTGAAAAATTTTAAAAGTGTTATTATTAGTTAAAAAGTAGTGTTCACTGACTAATTACACTTAATTTTGCCAATTATTATTACAGAATTCAAAAGTGATGTTGTTGGAGCATTGAAAATTTAGATCTCAGTAGAATATTATTACAATATCTTTCTGTTAATGTTTTCAATGTTTAATTTACTGTATCTTTCCAGATTACATACGTTTGGATAATTATAATGAAATATTTGTTATATGCAATGATTTACAGTGGGTAATTGGATAACGAACACTTTCGAGAAAGATTTTTATGTTCGGACAACGAACACCTCACAGAATAAACACAAGAAGAAGCGATGTAAAATAATGAATACTGATTGATTTTCTCTTGTCTTCAGGTAACAATTCAAAACATTTCGGGGTGCGGGAGGCGTCGACATAGACGCTTAAGCCGGTTTATACCTGATCGGGTAGTATTCCTCCGAACTTTGAAACTCTCCCTTGTAATTCCAGCCTTTTATTTTTCTGACAAAACAATTCTTTTATGTATTCACGAGACTGTCGGGTAGGCACTCGTTAAGTTTTGCGTCTGTTTTTTTTTTTTTTTCGAAAGGTGAGAGTATAATAACAAAGATAGAGAGTGGGCAGAAGATGCCTAATGTTGCTAGGCAGTATGGTGCAAACAGGTGTACAGTAGGCCGAAATTCAATCTTACTGTATTTAAGAAAAATACAGTATAATCAAGAAAACTCAAGCAGCTAAAGGAATAACAAAGATCACATCTGAGATATTAATTTAATTACTTACGAAAAATCCTGAAGAAGAGAGAAAAGCAATCAACATTAGACAGATTCTTTAACCCTTTCAAACGGAAAAATCATGACTATTAAAAATGCAAGACTATGTATGTATGTATTTTTATTATTACATATAAATAAATGTAGTAAGAAAGTAGTATATATTTTTCATTTTTGGGG